AACTTTGAGCTGGCCATAGATGGATCGAATCTCATCACAACCAGCCTGTCGGATTCAACATCTTCATCACTGTGTTCCCATGTTGTGGGCGGCTCCCCCTGCCCCTCCTCCCTGCCGAGAGAACACAATGGCTCTGCTCTCCTGGTTGCAGGAAAGAAAACCGCCCTATCTATGGCCAGCTTTGAGCACAAGTTTATTCATCTCTGTATACTTTTCAATATCTCTCTTGTATTAAAAGAGGTATAGACTCCAGAGAGAGATATCATATTACCCCTGTACAAATCATTAGTAATACCTCATCTGGAATGTGCAGTTCAGTTTTGGGCATTAATTCACAGAAAGAACATTGGGGAACTGCAGAAAGTACAGAGAAGGGCAACCAAACTGATAAGAGGCATGGAGGAGATCAGCTATGAGGAAAGATTAGAGGAACTGGATTTATTCTCTCTTGAGAAGAGGAGATTAAGGGGGAATATGATCAACATGTATAAATACATCAGTGGTTCATATAGTGAACTCAGTGTTATTCACCCTGAGGTCATCACAGAGGACAAGGGGGCACTCTTTACGTCTGGAGGAAAAGAAATGTAATCTCCAAAAACTGAAAGGTTGCTTCACCATGAGAGCTGTGAAAATGTGGAATAGAATCCCTCAAGAGTTGGTTCTGGCCAGCTCAGTGGATTGCTTTAAAAAACGCCTGGATTCTTTCTTAGATACACAGAATATAACTGGATACTAACATTTATAGGTAGAGTTGATCCAGGGAATATACGATTATCTCTAGGAGGCATGCTTTGCTGGGTTTTTTTTTTTTTTTTTTTGCCTTCCTCTGGATCAACTGTGGGTATAGGATTATAACTTTTTTTTTTTTTTTTTAATGGTTGAACTGGATGGACTTTTGTCTTTTTTCAGCCAGACTAACTATGTAATATGTTGATAGTAAACATTGGTGTTGTAATTCGATTAAGTAAATACTGATTCCCTGGAAGGACCTTTGCCATCATTTAATTCATAGATCTGATGGCCAAAATCCAATTTATCCTACCTAGTGACCAGGATGGTAATAGTTTTCTTTGTGTTTTATAAGGTCATTGCTTGTGTTTTCCTGAAATGTCATCTGGCTGAATTTACAAGCCCCACATGAATAAACAATAGGCTAATTAGAGATGTTACTAGTGTCAAGGAAGAAAATAGATCACTATAAAAATGCATTGATTTTTTTCCTGTGCTTGAATGTTAGCCAGTTATTGTTATGGTCCCAAGTTATGCAGATATGATGTTTTATTGTATATGGTGTAATAAAGGTACAGAAAGTTTCTACAGATCCACACTTACCAAGCCCACCTCACCTTACCCATATACATACCCATCTCTCCAGGGTTGGGACAAGTGATGGGTGGGAGGGACAATTGCCCTGGGCACAATGGTTTACTGCAGACATGGGAGCACCTTTCTTCTGTTACAAGGCTGACAGGAGTAGTTACAGCAGCAGTAATTTTGACTAAAAAGTGACTGCTAGGCATATAATTCCATATGCTTGCACATTGTGAGTGGGGGAAGGGGTGCAGTTTGGCATCTTTGCCCTGGGCTCTGGATGGCATTGTCTTGGCACTGCATCACTCACTTAAAGATCTGCTTGTATCCTAAATCTGACCTACAAAGTCTGTACCTACTGCCTGTTTCTGTTTTTACCACCATCACGTTAAAGACAAAAATTTTCCAGTTACTTGAGATTGTATCTTAGCCAATTTCTGGCAGTCTTTCTGCAACACAGCAGAGAGACTGTTATTTTACAAAGGAACTGCCAGGGATTACTATGTGTTTATTGCATTGAAGTGTAGTCACGAATACCAGCCAACAGATATTAGACAGCAGTAGCGCTTAGTATACCAGCGTCAGGTGGTAGTCATGTCATGTGACCAAGAGCAGAAAACAACACTTCATCAAAATGGTTGACTGCTGTCTATCTCTGATTACTAATGCTCTCTAAAATCATTAGATCAGATCTTGGCCGTCTACACATTTCCCTGAACCTAAACAGGATGATTGGTAATGTTGGACCCCAACATGACCCATGGCCTAACCCTTCTTAATAGTTATGACACGTGTAAGGTTACATGTACACAGGAACTGCTGTAGACCTTAATTCTTCTGGCAGCAGAAAACCGCTAAACAAGGCAAAAACGTGTGTAAACGTGGTACCGTGCTTAGCCACATTTAGCTGCATTTAGAGCTTGGACGTTTATTCATTTCTTTGGCCAGAGTACTTGCCATTGAAATGAATAAACATTTAACTGCTCCTAAATTCTGATAAAAGCGTGTGCGTGAATGGACACATAGGCTTTTATTGATTTGAGTTTAGGGGCTTTGACAAAAAAGCAGCAAAAGCTCCTAAACTCACGTTTATTAGCAGCAGTGTACATGGATCCTAAAAATTTTTAAAAATAGGGGCTGTGTGTGGCAAATCTACCTAATCAGCATCGCATAGTCAAGCTGGTCTAAATCAGGAAGCAAAAAATGCTGTGCTTTCATGAAGTGTTGCTTCCTGTATTTAAGATTATGAATATGCAATGATAGTAGTATGCACAGATACAGAATAGCTCCCTCTGGCTACCAAAGATCTTGGCAACCTTCAAGAAACAAGCTTGTTAATGGTGTCTATTGAGAGACTGGTTCAGAATTTTATAGTATGTATACATGTAATTATGAACTGCATTTGTGTTCCACCCTTCCAGACCATCATCTTTACTCCTAGAAGTAGAAATTCTATTTCTACAAAGTACCTGACCTGTCCAAAGCCAGACAGTGTTTCTAGGCCCCAGCTCAAATGCATCCTGTAGTGCAGTGGTCTCCAAACTGTGGTCCACGGGCCACATGCGGCCCTTTACCTGCCTTTATCTGGCCCTTGGGGCACTATTCCTGTCATTGATACATGGGATTATTCTTTCTACTGACACCAACAATGAGGCACCATTATTTCCATTGACACCAATGGTGGGGCATATTTCCTTTCACTGACAGCAATGGTGGGCCCCCTTTCTTTCCACTGACACCAAAGATGGGGCATTATTCCTCCCACTGACACCAACAGTGCAGTACTATCCCTCCCACTGACACCAATGATGGGGCACTATCCCTTCCACTGACACCAATGGTGGGGCACTATCCCTTCCACTGACACCAATGATGGGGCACTATCCCTTCCACTGACACCAATGATGGGGCACTAACCCTTCCACTGACACCAATGATGGGGCACTAACCCTTCCACTGACACCAATGATGGGGCACTATCCCTTCCACTGACACCCATGATGGGGCACTATCCCTTCCACTGACACCAATGATGGGGCACTATCCTTCCACTGACACCAATGATGGGGCACTATCCCTTCCACTGACACCAATGATGGGGCACTAACCCTTCCACTGACACCAATGATGGGGCACTAACCCTTCCACTGACACCAATGATGGGGCACTATCCCTTCCACTGACACCAATGATGGGGCACTATCCCTTCCACTGACACCAATGATGGTGCACTATTCCCCCCCCACTAATACCTATGATGGAGCACTATTCCCCCACTAATATCAATGGTGGGGCACTATTCCTTCTACTACTAACAGTGATGGGGCACAATTCCTCCCACTACTACCACTGATGGGGCACAATTCCTCCCACTACTACCACTGATGGGGCATTATTCCTGACCACAGGCACTATAATTTTTTTTCACTTTTACTGAACCCCAAGCCCCAGGCATTTTCTACTTCCACTGGTCACAGTGCTGCCCTCCTATAGTCGAGGACAGTCGGCTGGCCCTTTGTTTAGAAAGTTTGGAGACCCCTGCTCTAGTGCATATGGTACTTTGTATTCTGTGTGCAGAGTACATGATACAGTATAGTAGCAGCCAGGTACAAAAAAAATCTGGCAGCATGTGGGCAGCACTGAATTTACCATAATGGCATTTGAAGACAAATGCCTAGGGCACCAGGGTTGAAGGAGGCATCAAAAGCTTGAAAATGTACAGATTGTGAAAACTCTATTCCTATTTTGTTTCCTTCTTCTCCAACTTTGGATATTAATGGATAAATTCAGCATTAAGGCTGTAGAAGGAAGTGGGTACAGAGGATTAAAGCTGAATTTTAGGTGTGGCTTTTTTGCATAGTTATGTTGGTCCAGCTTGGATCAATGTAGGTATTGAAACTAGAGTATATACTGTATGTTCCATACTTGTGGGTTCGCTGTGAAATCATTGCAACAGGTGTTGCTACTAAAATGATCACCGCTAACTCTGAAGTCCTGTACTGAGCGTTGCCCTACTACTGAGTGAACATAGGGGTCACTCGCTTGGCACAGGTGCCATTCAGAGAACATTTTCCAGTTTGACGTCACGGCCCTGCCTTGCCCAAATTAGAGACCACTTTGCGTTTATTTGAGAAAATGCCAGGTGTTCTCTGAATGGCGCTTGTGCCCAGAAAACGACCCTCTGTGTTCACTAAGCATCAGGGCAGCCACCTGGTACAGGGTCTGGATGCTGGTGGCAATCAGTGTAGTAGCAGTGAGTACTACAGAGATTTCCAACTTCCACAGAGATCAGCCAGTTATGGCACATGCATACTTACATTGGTCCAAGCTAGCGTCAGAAGGAACTGTTGCCCAGGTCAGCATGTCTAAATACGGCCCAGGTATGGGCATTAGACTAATGATTTCTGTTGCAACCTGTAATGATGAGGGTGGGAGACAACATTAGGCAACATGTAATGTGCGGTTCTACAGAAGCTCTTTGGGTAGGATATGCTTTTGTTTACAACGTACTTTAAGTTGGTGTCACAAGCATAACATTTGGTGAAAAGTGTATTAGGATGGTCACACTTTGTTGATTCATGATATATTAGTTTGTATACCACAGAATGTGTTTATATCTGTTTTAATCTGTGTTGTGCTTACCACCTATAGCAACCCATATCAAATCCTGAACTTTTTTCTCCTACAGGCAAAACCCAAGGAATGCGTCTATAAATGTTGGACAAGGTAAGTGACTGAATTAATTTGATTTAACCTGTAACTCAGGTACTGAAGTTTTACTTTGTTTCCATACATTTTCTTTAATTTTTATTCCTTTTTAAATATAATAAAGTAAATCCGCACTAAGCTAAATGATGTAACGTGCTTAGCTTCAAAAGCAAACCTCTCAAATAGCACTACATATCTTTTATATTTCTGTTGCATTGCCTACATTACAGCCTGCAGTGAAGTAAAGTGGTAGTAATGTCTTTTGTTTAGGTTGTACCTACAGGTAAGCCTATAATAGGGCTTACCTGTAGGTACTGTGAATATCTCCTAAACCTGCACTGTTTAGGAGATATTCACGCAGCCAGTGACACCACCACCGGTGATAGCACTCTGAAGGAACGGAGCCATGCCGGACCTTCAATGCCCGTCTTGCTGCCAAGGGCTACCACACACATGCGTGGGAGTGATATCATCGCGGCTCCGGCCATTAAAATGCTTGGAGCCCACAAACCCAGAAGGAAGACTGGGTGAAGATGGCAGCGCCGGGGAGCCATGGCAGCTCTGCGCTGGAGGGCTCCTGGTAAAGGTAAGTCTGTGCATACTAGTATATTATCACCTAAACCTGCAGGGGCCCATTGTCTTGTTTTTTTGTTTTTCTGACAGTTTACTACTGCTTTAAATATCTACAAGTCACTTCTAAAATGAAGCAGCTATTGAGCTGTACAAATTAGTTGAATTAGCTGCTGCTCAGTATGTGGCACTTTTGTTTGTTGAAAGTCCAGCCCATTCCTAGCTAAGTTTAAACCTGCTCCCATGATGCCCCAGTGGCCGCTTTCAGTGAAGAGAAGAAATCGCCGACACCAGATGCAGAGCCATAGGCTTACTATCTGCTGTCTGCTGTCCTACTTCTACACTGAACTCACGGCTGACAGCTGATCATGTGACCAGACAGGCGCACTCTCAGAATAAGTAAGTATAGACATATTCCTTTCACAGGGTAGGTAGGGTTTAGAAGTAGGGGGGGGGGGGGGGGGGCAGATTTAAGCTTGGTTAGGAATAGGCTGGACTTCCACTTTAAGAAAGGCAGCAGTTTCTTAGGTCTCTTGTCACAAGGAAGTAATGTCTAACAGTCTTTTATAACTTCAAAGTAGCAGCAGGGTTTGAAAGTAAAGTATAGTGGGTTTTTTTTATGTATTTTATGGCCAGGGCTAAAAATATATAGGGCAACAAATGTATCAACGGTGTTTACCCAAAAACTGTCAATTTCAATCTAGTAAGCGCTGGTAATATATTTTTGGTGATTTTTGTAAGAATTTCAGAGGAGTTCTTGTTTATCAACTCTCTCTTGTCTACAGAGATCAGTAGCTCAAGGTGAATTTAAACACAGGACTAACCTTACATACAGGGGTGGATCTCTGCATGACCAACATGACCATGATCTAGGTCAGTGGGGCTGACAAGGGCAGTCCACAACCACCCACACATCATTTTGCAGACAGTCACTTATTCTTGTGTGTAAGAAAGGATTTCAGATTCCTGCCTGCTGATTTGGCTAACACTTCTTGCTTGTTCATTTTGTATGGAGAAATAAACTAAATAAAACTGAACTTCTAGCAAAAAATATTTGGCATACTGTTTTAGTTGTCTGTTCAAGGTGTACTTAGGCACTTTGGCTGAAAGTGGCATGAAGTGCACCCCATCTTGAATAAAAAATTTTTGCTGCCATTAAAAAAAAAAAAAAATGGAAAAAAGTGCAGCAAAAGGGAATGGAGAACCATGAGGAAAGGTTAAAGATGAGCAGATAAATATACAGATGAAATACATTCATGTGAGCTGTTTTACTTGCCAAGGATTTGTATCTCTCATTCTTTCCTGTGATATACACAACTCTGCCATACAGCACAGCCCTGCCTAGCAGAGGAGGGTACCTGATCTTTCTTTGCTGCAGCCTTACTTCCACTTACAGGTCCCCTCTCCACCCCCACCTTGTGACTTTTACAGCGAAAAGAGAAGCAGAAGACTGATGAGCTAATCTCTGTCTTTTTGCTCTGTCCTCCTTCTAACAACATGCCTCTTGCACTGTAGCATCCAGCTCATTGTACTATTTCCACCCTCCCCTCTTTCTTCCTGAGCTTTGCTGTACAGACTGCTTAGTTGACTGCAAGAGGCTAATACCAAGTCAAATTCAGGTACTTACACTGCTGTCATTGAAGAAAATATATGGAGTGTAAAATAAAAATAATCATAAATACCGTATTTTTCGCTCCATAAGACGCACCTGACCATAAGACATGCCTAGGTTTTAGAGGAGAAAAACAAGAAAAAAAAATATTCTGAACCAATGGACTGCAGACACAGTACAGGAGATGACCAGAGACTGCGGACACAGTACAGGGGATGACCAGAGACTGCAGACACCGTACAGGGGATGACCAGAGACTGCGGACACAGTACAGGGATGACCAGAGACTGCGGACGCGGTACAGGGGATGACCAGAGACTGCGGACACGGTACAGGGGATGACCGGAGACTGCGGACACGGTACAGGGGATGACCGGAGACTGCGGACACGGTACAGGGGGGATGACGGAGACTGCGGACACGGTACAGGGGATGACCGGAGACTGCGGACACGGTACAGGGGATGACCGGAGACTGCGGACACGGTACAGGGGATGACCGGAGACTGCGGACACGGTACAGGGGATGACCGGAGACTGCGGACACGGTGCAGGGGATGACCGGAGACTGCGGACACGGTACAGGGAAGACCGGAGACTGCGGACACGGTACAGGGGACGACCGGAGACTGCGGACACGGTACAGGGGACGACCGGAGAGTGCGGACACGGTACAGGGGACGGCCGGAGAGTGCGGACACGGTACAGGAGGACGACCGGAGACTGCGGACACGGTACAGGAGACGACCGGAGACTGCGGACACGGTACAGGAGACGACCGGAGACTGCGGACACGGTACAGGAGACGACCGGAGACTGCAGACACGGTACAGGAGACGACCGGAGACTGCGGACACGGTACAGGAGACGACCGGAGACTGGGGACACGGTACAGGAGACGATCGGAGACTGCGGACACGGTACAGGAGACGACCGGAGACTGCGGACACGGTACAGGAGACGACCCGGAGACTGCGGACACGGTACAGGAGACGATCGGAGACTGCAGACAGTAAAGGAGATGACCAGAGACTGCGGACCTTTGGGGACGGAGGGGGATCGGGTACCTGAATTTGACAGGTACCCGCTCCCACATCCGCGGAGTTGTCCTTCCTTCTTCTTCCTGCGCCGGCTTCTGTGACAGCCGGGTGCCCACTGCGCATGCATGAGAAGTGCTGCGCTTTGTGAATGGCCTGGAGCCTTCTGGGACCTGTCATGTGTCCCAGAAGACGCCGGACCATTCACAAAGCGCAGCGCTTCTCGCGCGTGCGCAGTGGGCACTCGGCTGTCACAGAAGCCGCCGCGGGAAGACTGCAGCGCTGGAGCGAGGAACAGGTAAGGTCCTGCAGGAGAGAAGAGCTGAGCGGGCGGCCCGGTATTCTAACATGGTGGCGGCAGAAATACTTGTCTAACAACTAACAACTTTTACAAGCATTTAGGCATGTTTACAGGCATCAATCACTTGGGTGTTTATTCATTTCATTGGCCATAATAATATATTCTGGCCATTGAAATTAATTACCACTCAAGCGATAAACACGCCTAGCATTAAGACGTGTTTAGGCGTGTTTACATGCTTCAAGCATTTTTTCTGCCAAAACGCTGCCTGGGTTTTTTCCTGCCTGTAAACTCTGCGGCCACTAAAAGCTTCTAAAAGTGTATGTGTGCATGGACACATAGGATGAAATGGAGGGGCAGTAAAAAAAACATGGTAGCAGTAAAAAAAAAAAAAGAAGCCTGACGCCCCTAAAAGTGCCTGCAAAAATTGCCTGTGCGCATGAGGCGCAACACTCAATGGAGCACCAGGCTGGAGAGGGGGCAGGTGCAGCCACACCCTGAGAGCCAGTGCTAGCTGTCAGTCAGGCGGACAAAGAATATGCTCAGGGTTTTTCAAGAGCCTAGACTGTGACATCAGTTGACAGTGGGCTTTAGCCTGTTGATGGTTGGCTCCCAGGGAAGCAAGAGTAAGTGCACTCCAGTGGCCCGAATGAGAAATATGATCAAAAAAGCTTTGGCCATACTTCTCTTTTAAAGAAAAGAGTGCTGCCTCTGTACCGCAAGTGTTAAATGCTCGTTTAGGTCTAGGGGAACAAGTAAAGCAGTTTTACTTACCCAATCCCCATTCCTGCAGGCTACCTCAGGCTGTAAAGCCTAGTACACACGATCAATTTTTTTTTTACGTTCAACCCAGTGGGCTGAATGAAAAAAAAAGCTGAAAAATTCTGGAGGAGATCCTGTACTAACAATCCAATGATCTCCCCGCTGAGCTATTTTGTTTTGCTAGAACACACCGGTCAGCCACTGGCTGCCAGCACTGATTGGATGTCAATCTGCAGACCTTCTTTGATCATTCCCCTTCGACAGAAGCTGGACCAGCTGCCGTGCACACGGGCCGAATGTCGGCAGGCTTCTATTGAACTGCCCAATATTCAGCCCATGTGTATGGGGCTTAAGACTGGTCCCTGCAGCCCCTTTTCTCCTTTGCCCAGGTGATTGCAGGTCCTCTGATGTTGTCAAGTCCAATTCATGGTCTATAGCCCAACCAATATAAAAGTGTATGAATGTTAAAAGGATAATGAAAATAAAACTGACCCAAAACCAATAATATCTTCCCTTTATTAGTCTCTTGAGGCATTCAGTAATACGGTGGTCTTTTGTAATATACATTGCTTCTCTTGCATGACAGCTTTCTTGCAACAATGCAGTTCTGTCTTGAAATATGACTTGACATATTATTATTATTATACAGTATTTATAAAGCGCCAATGGTTCGCTCAGCGCTGTACATTACATATGACAGAATTAAAGGTGGGGTAGGGCTACAGGTACAAATGCTTCAGGTCTGGTGTGGGTCTACAGAAAGATATGCATGCAGATCTCCAGCCTGCATGATGTTACAAGCAGGGAACATATTTTACAGTATATATATATTGTATTCATGACATAGATTTTAACTATACAAGATAGACATAGGAAATTTCGGTGATATAACAGATAACTCCTGATTGACTCTGGGTGGTGACACCCACTTCACTGCATAAACTGGAAAAGAGAGATTTTTGCAGCAGACATTTCTTATAAAAACATATGTTACAGTAACTTTATACCACAAATCAACCTTTAGAAAAACAGTATTTGCAATTTTGCTTGATTTGCTTAACACATCAGCTCATGATCTTCCCAGTAGCTGGAACAATTTCATTCTAGATACTTAGTCTTTGACTTTGGCCTTTAATCAAGTCTAATGACTGATTGGCTGCAGTTTCTGTAAAATGCACATTAATTATGATGTCTCTTTCCGTTAAACACATTCATTGTGTTCTGTCTCCTGAAAATGCTCCCACACATGATATTTACCATTTATAGACACTTCCCCTTATTCCCCAACAACTGAAGAACCAACAACTACCCATTTTCACTGTGATCTTAAGGTTTTGTTCATTTAGACATAGGCAACTACTTTCTGACCTGTCATTTTACTAAAAACATTGCATGCTCAAAAAGAGAACTCTTGTCACATACAAAATTGCTTGTTAATTCATATGCTATTCTTTTATCCAGGGTTGATCTTTAAAGGAGAAGTATAGCCAAAGCTATTTGGGCTATACTTCTCCTATAAATAACAGGAGTGCAGTTTGTCCTGCACTCCTCTGACCCATTTTCATTGATGTCACTCAGCTGGTCCAGGCATAGGAAATTTTACAGTCGGGATCCACCCAGATGGACTGGCAGCTGGCTCAGCCTTTCAGCGTGTCACTGAGAGCCTAAGCAAGGCCCTCCTGCACCCTCCATAGCCTAGCGCTCCAGGAGGGGCAGAGCAGAAACAGTGATACTAACTGTCACCCCTCTCTGCCAAGAGTGGAGGGGGAGAACTGAGCGATCAGTGGTGTTTGATCACTCAGTTCTCGGGGTAGAGCCGGTAGGGGACAGATGCAGCTGGGATAAGTGCTGCAGCCATCTAGGTGAGTGTGATTTTTTTTTTTTTTTGCTTTTCTCTTTTAAAAACTGCGAGGTTTTATGTTGAGGAAGCTTGACTGCTTCCCTGACATATTACAAATTTAACTTTAACAGTTCCAAGCACTTTCACCATCTGAACCCTGGCTAGTATGTGCTATTGATTGCTGTCATGAGATCTCACGACCAATAGGAAAACACTCTAACAAGGAACATGTCGTATTTGCTCCCTTTTGTCTGTTAAATATACTATTTCATTGAGTGTTTTGTTCACCCAGGTTCCTTTTAGATGATGTCATAAAATAGCAAATTCTGCTTTTTTCCTGCAACTGAAACTGATTGAATATTTTTCCAGTATTAATTTCCAGAAAGTACTAATTCCACCTAACTCAAACTATACACCAATCAGCCATAACATTATGACCACCTACCATAACATGACCACCCACCTAAAACTAAGTAGGTCCCCACCTTGCCACCAAAACAGCACTGACCCATCATGGCATGGACTCCAAAGATATGTTGTGGTATCTGGGACCAAGCCCTCGGTAGCAGATCCATTAAGTCCTGAAATTTGTGAGGTGAAGCCCTCATGGATGGGACTTGTTTTTCCAGCACATCCCACAGATGCTCATTTGAATTGACATCTGGAGAATTTGGAGACCAAATCAATACCTTGAAGACACTTTATCTTTTGGTCCATGGTCCAGTTCTGATGCTCATGTGCCTACTGTAGGTGCTTTTGGCTGTGGAGAAGGATCAGCATAGGCACCCTGACTGGTCTAGGGCGACGCCTTCCCATATGCTACAAACTGTGATGTGCTGTGTGTACTGACACCTTTTTTATCAGAACCAGTCTTAACTTTTTCAGCAGTTTGAGCTACAGTAGTTCTTTTGTTGGATCCAACTACATGGGCCAGCTCCCCACATGCATGGAAATGAACCTAACCTTGGACTTTTTGCTTAATTTAGGAGCATTCAGCGCTTTTATGTCTCCATTTTAACTAAAGCTTATTGGTTGCACATATACGCACATAAACTCTCGTGCAATGCAAACCACTATGAGTGTTTTTTATGCTGCTTATTCTGCCACCTTGTGTGCATGGACCCTTACTCAGAAATTTTCCGGCAGAAAAAAATGGCTGAAAGGGTATGGCATTTACTCTCAACCAGCATTTGTAGAGTTGTGCAATGTTGAAATTAAAGAGAGTCTTCACAATAGCTTGTATTTAATGGTGTAAGGTTGAAATATGGCAGAAATACAGGGTTTGCAAGGTAATGTGCTTTTTAGTTTTTTGCTGATTTGGATTGTTCTTTTCTCTTTTTAGATGTCACTGACTTTTCAGCCCCTCCTCCACTCTCCACTGGACCGGCAGTCCGGCCCCCTTGGACCACTGATCCCTCCTTTGCTGAGCGCTATGCTCCAGACAAAACAACCACTGTATTGACTAAGCACAGTCAACCAGCGACCCCAACTCCAGCGCAGAACCGCAGCTCAATCCTGCAGGCTGCGCAGCCTGCTCCTTCTGGGGAAAAGACTCCTATCTGCTCCCAGTGTAACAAGGTCATTAGGTGAGTACCTTGTGCAGAATAGAAAAGCTTGCACGCTGACTAAGATTGTGCTAATCCAGACCATATTGTATAGCCACAAGTAGCAATGGCTTAACTTTCCATAGAAGTATAAATATTATTTTCCTGTATATTGTTTTCACAGAGGGAGATACCTACTAGCGCTGGGTCGTTACTATCATCCCGAGGAGTTTACTTGTTCACAGTGTCACAAAGTAGTTGAGGAAGGTGGATTCTTTGAAGAAAAGGGATCCATATTCTGTCCAAGGTGCTATGATGTCCGGTTTGCTCCTAATTGTGCCAAGTGCAAAAAGAAGATTACGGGGGTGAGAGAAAGCTTTGTTTTTATTCTCCATTATTAAGCAGAGAGTTATCAATCATTTTGTAGAGATGTTTAATATGCTTTGTGTAAAGACTGGCCTATATTATCCCAGTGGTGTCATTGTTCCACTGTTTAAGTGATGAGTTGAGGCACTGTTTTTCATTTTAATTATTTTTCCTGTCCTCTGTGTACTATGCATCAAAACTTCCCTCATTTATTCAGAGTAGCATTGTAATTGTTGGTTTCGTAGGATGCCAGGTACAGTCTGGTTACTTGATAGTCCTGCTGTTTTAAATCCTTTAGAATGAATCTGATATTTTTTTGTTGTAGTTAAAACAAACATGTTATTTCTTGTTTGAAACAATTAACAGTCATTGCATTTCATTGTGTCAGAATGTTTGGTCTAAAACCAACATTTCTATTTAATAGCTATTATATTTCCAGATATCACTTTCATTTTTTGTTTTGGATAGAGTGGAGATTGATAAGAACCCCTGTCAGGTTTTTATTGCTGTCTGTGTCCCCGTTGGGGAGATTCACCCTCTCTGTTTGTCCAGTTTACCATTATCGCTGAAAGTTAAAATAAAAGAATGTCCCAAACTTTGGGTTGTCCCCAGAAAAGTAATAGATGGAAAATCTTCCTATGGGGATATTAGTTCTGGTGACCTGGTAGGCCCCAAGGGATTCCCTTAATTTGAAGCGATTTCCTGGAAGTGCAGTTATATTTCCCAATGGGACACAGATGGCAATAAAATTGACAGGGATAATACAGGGGTGTGGACATTTTTTTTAAAAAACTACTTGTCCAGGGACTAAATCGGTATCCCAATCTACTTTTCCCACATGACAATCTACTTGTCCTGATAAAAAATGTTTGTTTTTTTTAACTCAAACCTTATTTAAATCTGAGACGTTTTTAGGAATGTTTGGAACTTTTAAAATCAGCCACTGTGGGCTATGTGGAAGCAATCGGGTGGAAGCAATCGCCCCCGTTTAAAAATCACCTAGTATTAGTAGTTACAAAATGTTCGTACGAAGAAAAAAGTTAGATTTACACTTACCTTACCCCCTATCTTCGGCCTTTGGCATCTAGACAAAGAGGATGTCACATTTCTTCTGGCTAGATTCTGTGGAATACAGAGCAGTACAAATTTTGGAGAGGATGCTCTTGGAATGTGGTAAGAGTTTATGCTCAGGGATTTCACCTGCTCTGCATCTCTCAAAAAGTTACCCGGAAAGATGCTGACATTTGGCAGTCTGGAAGATGAGGGTAAGTCAAGTACAGTGCTCAGCATAAATGAGTACAACTCTTTTGAAAAGTAAGATTTTAATCAATATCTCAATGAACACAAAAACACTTTCCAAAATTTTGACAAAACTGAGTTTTATAGAACATTTGTTTAGCTCATTATATGAAAGTAAGTTTAATATAATTTAGATAACAACATTTTCAGTTTTACTCAAATTAGTTGATGCAAAAATGAATACACCCCACAACATAAAATACTACTTTACATTTAGTATTTTGTATGACCTCCATGATTTGTAAGGACAGCGCTAAGTCTAGGCATGGAATGAACAAGCTGGCGACGTATTGCAAAATCTATCTTTTTTCATTCTTCAAGAACGCCCTCTTTTGGAGCCTGGATGCTGGATGGAGAGTGATGTTAAACTTGTCTCTTAAGAATACCCCATAGGGTTCAGAAGACATACTTGGCCACTGAATCACTTTCACCCTGTTCTTCTTCAGAAATGCAACAATGGCCTAAGATATGTGTTTTGGATCATTGTCATGTTAGAAAAGTACACAACGACCAAGGGCACGGAGCGGTGGTAGTATCTTCTCCTTCAATATAGAGCAGTACATCTGTGAATTCATGGTTCCATCGATGAAATGCAGCTCCCCAACACCAGCAGCACTCATGCAGCCCCACAGAAGAATGTTGCCACCACCATGTTTCATTGTAGGCACCATGCATTTTTCTTTGTACTCCTCACCTTTGCAATGCCATACAGTTGTAAAGCTATAAGTTACAAAATCCTTTATCTTGGTCTCATCACTCCTGAGTACAGAGTCCCAGTAGTCTTCTTCTTTTTTAGCATGGACCCTAGCAAATTCTAAGCAGGCTTTTTTGTACATGGGCTTTAGGAGAGGTTTCCTTCGTGGGCGACACCCATGCATGCCATTCCTCTGCAGTGTATGCCATATTGTGTCACGGGAAACAATCACCCCAGTTTGGCTTTCTACTTCTTTAGCTAACTGCAGAGAACTTTCATGGCAAATTTCTTCAGCCCTTCTCTTCAGAAGACACTCCTATCGAGGTGTTAACTTCCATGGACAGCCTGGTCATCTCTGTGAGATGGTTGCAGTTCCATCTTTGTTAAATTTTTGTATCACTTTTGCTACAGTATTCTGACTGATAAGTAAAGCTTTGCTGATTTTCTTGTAGCCTTCACCTTTCTTGTGTAAAGAAATTATTTTCTTTCACAGGCCTTGTGACATTTCTCTACCATGCCATTGCTGACAGCATGAAATGGGAAGGGGTTTCTTTGTTAAGTAACACACTTTTATAATCAACTGTCTGCTGGACACTGTTAATGAATACTTAGACTCAGCTGTAGTTAAATTCTTGTTAAGTAGGATTATTTTGTCCAGAATTTACCTTTGCTTCTAAGATTGGGGGTATTCATTTTTGCAACATGGTCTTGAATGAATGTGTTATCAAAAATACTTTCTTGTGTGAGCAAATTAACAAATCTTGTTTGTAATCAATGGCCTGCATTTGGAGGAGTATTTTGTAGTATAGTGTCTAGTAGAAAATGTTGATTCTGAAAAAAAAGTAAAAGGTTTTCTGACACATCTTTTGGGGTGTACTCATTTATGCTGAGCACTATATAAATCTAACTTTTTTTTTCTTTCAAGGCATTTGGAGCTACTAACCATAGGAGGATTTTAAAGGGCTGGGGTGCTTGGACATTATATGCAGACCTTGAAAGGCCCATTGTAAGGTTAGGGCAGATGTTAAATTGATATTAAAGGCAGGTTTTTTTTTTTTGTTTAAAAGTAACAAACATATTATACTTACCTGTGCAGTGGTGTTGCAAAGACCAGCCCTGATCCTCCTCTTGTCTGGCAGCTCCTGGCCCCTCCCTTCTGCCTAGTGCCCCCATAGCAAGCAGCTTACTATGGGGTTTCCCAAGCAGCTCTGCGTGTCCATTCACACACGGAGTTTGGCTTGGCCCCTTCCCACCCCTGCTCTCTCCCCATTGGATCACTGGCTGTGATTGACAGCAGCAGGAACCAATGGCTACCACTGCTGTATCAGCCAATGAGGAGAATGAGACCTGGAGGAGCCACGGCTCTTGTGCACATCACTGGATCGAGATGGGTAAGTAAGATGGCTCAGGTAAGTTTTAAGGAGGACTGGGGGGATGCTGCACACAGAAGGTTTTTTACCTTCATGCATGGAATGCATGAAGGTAAAAAACCTTGAGTCTTTACAACCACTTTAAGTTTTGGTGGTTTCATTTAAAATTAGGTTACCTTTAAGAGCTTAGCTGAGAGAAGGGTTTAATGATTGGGTCAAGCTAGGGTTATGTGGTGTGGAGGGACACACAGGTGTCAAAATTGCATATGTCAAACGTACACTGCATATGTACATACAGGTGGATAGATAGACCTTTTTAACTGGCAAAAACAGTGGACTTAATTCAAAAAGCGTTAACACAAGGATAAGTATCTGTATTTTAGGCCATATCCCTGTAATTTGTCATTTCTTTAAATAAGTGTCCATTCCTTGGCATGTTAGCTTTGTATATTCTTGATGTCTATGCACCTCAGTTGTGCTGTTTGACTGTACAGTATAGTGAGGGTGGCAACACTTTTCAGAAATACAGTTCTAAAGGCTAAGTGCCACTGCTCTGGGTCCTACCTGCTGTTTTAATTGCTAGTGAATATCATCACATTAGCAACACCCACCCTGAGCTTTCTCCCTCTCATCGGCCTAGCTAAATTAAATGCCTTTCAAGCGGCATGACAACTCAGTAAATAGGTTTCAGGTACCAAATAAATAATAAAAAAAAAAAATATATATATATATGTGTATATATATATGTGTGTGTATATATATATATATATATATATATATATATATATATATATACTGCTCCAAAAAATTAAAGGAACACTTTGAAAACACTTCAGATCTCAATGGGGAACAATATCATGCTGGATATCATTACTGTTATGAACTGGGTAATGTTTTAGGAATGTGAAAATTATCCACCTACAGAGGACTGAATTCAAAGAAACTCTGAAAATCAAAGTGAAAAAATGATGCAGCAGACTAGTCCATTTTGCTGACATTTCATTGCAGCAACTCAAAATGGTACTCAGTAGTTTGCATGGTCCCCATGTGCTTGTATGCATGCCTGACAATGTTGGGACATGCTCCTAATGGGACGACGGATGGTGTCCTGGGGTATTTCCTGCCAGATCTGGACTAGGGCATCACTGCGCTCCTGAACAGTCTGAGCTGCAGTCTGGCAGCATCGGATGGACTGAAACATGATATCCCAGAGGTGTTCTATTGGATTTAGGTCAGGCGTGTGGGAGCTATACAATGTTATCAATTCCTTCATCCTCCAGGAACTGCCTACATACTCTCGCCACATGAGACCGGCATTGTCATGCATCAGGAGGAACTCAGGACCTACTGCACCAGCATAGGGTCTGACAATGAGTCCAAGGATTTCATCCCAATACCTAATGGCAGCCTGTAGAGGTCTGTGCATCCCTCCATGGATATGCCTCCCCAGACCATCACTGAACCACCATCGAAACGGTCATGCTGAACGATGTTACAGGGAGCATAACTTTCTCCACGGCTTCTCCAGACCCTTTCATGTCTGACGCGTGCTCAGGGTGAACCTTCTCTCATTTGCGAAAAGCACAGGGTGCCAGTGGCGGACCTGCCAATTCTGGTGTTCGATGGCAAATTCTAATCAAGCTCTATGGTGCCAGGCAGTGAGCTAAGGGCCCAGTAGAGGACGTCGGGCCCTCAGGCCACCCTCATGAAGTCTGTTTCTGATTGTTTGGTCAGAGATATTCACACCAGTGGCCTGCTGGAGGTCATTTTTGTAGGGCTCTGGCAGTTAAGGACCTTCTACGACCCTCTCCAGCTTTTCTAGAGTAATTGCCTGACTCCTGGGATTTCCTCCATGCTCTTGAGACTGTGCTGGGAGGCACAGCAAACCTTCTGGCAATCGCACATATGGATGTGCCATCCTGAAGAAGCTGGACTGCCTGTGCAACCTCTGTAGGGTCCAGGTATCGCCTGATGTAGTGACACTGACCCTAGCCAAATGCAAAACTAGTGAAAAACAGTCAGAAAAGATGAGTAGGGAAAAAAATGTCAGTGACACCTGTAAAACCATTTCTGTTTTGGGGGTTGTGTCATTGTTGCCCATCTAGTGCACCTGTTGTTAATTTCATTAACACCAAAGCAGCTGAAACTGATTAACAACCCCTTTTGCTACTTGACTGACCAGATCACTATCCCAGAAGTTTAATTGACTTGATGCTATACTCTGATTAAAAAGTGTTCCTTTCATTTTTTTTGAGCAGTGTATATATCAATGTATATCAATACCTATAGTTCTTTAATGTAGTTATTTCCGTTGCTGTCATGAGCTTCCATTGTATTCTTTCAACAACTACAATATGCATTGCTATATTCTATTATGTATATTGATACTGTAGAACTTTGTGTGATTTTTTTTTTTTTTTTCAACGTTCCAGTCTTACTTGTCATTCACATCAAATATACACTAAATTAACAATGGATAACTGACATACAATAGTAACATCTTTTATTTTTATGTCTATGTCATGCTGTTCAGTGTGTCATACTGGTTGTTGACATTTTATTATGTTTTTCAGGAGATCATGCATGCTTTAAAAATGACTTGGCATGTTCAGTGTTTCACTTGTGCCTTCTGTAAGACCCCCATTCGCAACAGAGCTTTTTACATGGAGGAAGGACAGCCGTACTGTGAAAGAGGTGAGCTGTATGAGAAGGGGATAGTATTGTTAATAGTTATACTTGGGTCTACCTGTAAAGTGTTTCAATAGGACTAACAGATATGTTATTGTACAGATTATGAAAAGATGTTTGGTACTAAGTGTCGGGGCTGTGACTTTAAGATTGATGCCGGTGACCGTTTCTTGGAAGCTCTTGGATTCAGCTGGCATGACACCTGTTTTGTGTGTGCGGTAAGCACTGCTTTATTTCTCCTCTGCAAGAAGTTATGTATGCTGATCTCAGTATTGAAGTAAAACATAATCTAAACATGGAATACAGAAACACAAACTAAGGAAGGTGATGGCCCTGTAGTCATTTAAAGACATGTTTGAACTTCATGTTTATAATATGTATGTATATGCTCCTTCATACTTAGTAATAAAGTAAAAAAAAAAGTGCAGAATACAGTATGTGCAGTAGAGTAGTGGCTCTGAAACACCAGTCTGTGGACTGCTTCTGTGACCCATGTTGCCAGTCCACTTCATGTAGTTGGGTACTGATCAGAATAATTTATAAAATATGATAAACATTTTCTACTGTGAGTTTAATGCTCAGGATCCCATTTTGTTCTATCCAAAATAGAACTTACTTTAAAGCGGAGTTCCACCCAAAGGGGACGTTCCGCTTTAAAAATTGGTCCCCCACTCCCCATTAAGGATTGGCACCTTTGGGGAACTGGTACCTGAATTTGACAGGTAACAGCTCCCACTTCCGCTGCGATCGCCTAGGCGATCGGAAACGGAAGTTGTCCTACCCTCCCTCCCCGAAGTCCTGTGGGACACGTGACAGGTCCTAGGAGACGACGGGGCCATTCAGGAAGCGCAGCGCTACTCGCGCATGCGCAGTGGGCACGCAGCTGTGAAGCCACAAGCTGTCACAGCCGGGTGCCCACACTGAAGATGCCAGCGCCTGGAATACAGGACGGCTGGTGAAACAGGCTGCGGCGGGGGCAACGTGGGATCATGGGACAGGTGAGTGGCTGTTTTTTAAAAGTCAGCAGCTGCAGTTTTTTTAGCTGCTGACTTTTATTTTCTTACAGAGTGAGTGGAACTCCGCTTTAAAGCTGAACCTAAACTGTTTCTTTTCTGCCATCCCTGGTTCCTTCATTCCTTACTCATCAACATGATAATACATTTTTTTAAATAACACCTTTCCGATTTCATTGTTTGCCTTCTCTTAGGCTCAGTGCTTCTTCACGCAATGCAAGTGAGTGGTGGGGAGGGGTCAGCAGAGTGCAATACATACTGTAGCTTCCTAGAAAAAAAATCACAGCACCCTGCTTCAGTACTCCCGTCAAGAGCCCTTGGCCCTTGGCCCTGATGCAAGCAGTGGACTGCCTGTTGGGAGGAGTTAAGCAAACATAAATATGCCCTAATGTTGCGCATTTCAGCACCCAGAGGGACCCCCAGAACCCAGTAGGCCTGCAGTATACAATTGTCAGCTTACAAAAAAAAACACATTGACTGCATCCCACAATGCAGTATAGGTCCTTAGCAAACAGTTGAGAGGTGTACCTTACTGTGTTGTGAGATGTGATGTGAGTATTCCCAAACATGGCTTCTTCCACTGTGAACGTCCTGCAGCTTTGGTTCAGTAAGCAAAAGCCATCGGTGTATAACCAAGTTCATTCACAAGGTTTGAGGTATGACTGTGATAGGTGTTCAAACATTTCAGGAGATTTGCATCCACTACTTGCAGGTTATCATAACTGAAACTGACACACTTTTGTTCTCTTTTTAGATCTGTCAAGCTAATCTGGAAGGCAAGACATTTTACTCAAAGAAGGACAAGCCCCTCTGCAAGACTCATGCCTTCTCCAATGTCTGAGTAGCTGGCTTAACTGCACATTGGCACACTTACACTCTCACAGACACGCACACATCATACACAGTATAGCTACCTGCATGATGTATGGGATCCAAAAGAGCCTTGATGGGTTGGACACCCATATACACATTCAGTTATGTTAGGAACCTGCAGTGAATGAAGAACAGGCTTAAATACAGTCACATTTCAGCTTCAATCCATTAGGTGCTAATCATTAATAAGTGATAGTCTCTGTGGTTTCTTTTGATCGCTTACTTTCAGGAACTGACAGAGAAAAGAATGTTAGAATAAATATATAGCAAACTTTTAGAGAGCTGAAAGAGTCCTCGCTAGATAATTATGTTAACCTTTTCAGAAAAACCTGTAACACAAAAGGTTGCCATGAGCAACGACACTTCAATGCTACATAGACATCAACACTTGCAGACTGCAAAACTTTTACTTTTAACATTCAGTATTGCAAAGTAAGAGACCTCAATGTGTACATTTTTAAAGACAATAGAAACTTACACTCCTTAAAGTATCTCAGACGAGGTAGGTGACGAGTGAATGAATGCAGGGGGCAGGTGGTTGAGAGCTTGCAAGTTAACATAGAGAAAATGGAGAACTATAGCTAGTTTACAATGTAAAGGGCTGAAACTGATACTGAAGGGAGGATAGTAGAGAGAGAAAGTTTACATAGGGCAAGTTTACAGATTTTGCACACACATTGGCTTATTTATGAACAGTGGGAAATGCAATAACTTATCAAGTACAGTAACCCATAGAATCCAGTTCACCTGTTTCAGGTTCTTTCTGATTATTATGGCACGCTGTACTTTACAGTTATAGTATTTTGTCTTACTAAATAAACCTGACTGTTCTACTTTGATTTTACTTGTGTATATAGATATATAATGCAGCTACATTATACATAGCGGATTCCTGTTACATTTTTCAATTGCCAGGCAGATTTATGAATTTAGCATAGTCAATATTGATATAAAATGTACAAAATGTCATCATCCAGGTGGAGTATAGAATAACTAATTCAGTCTTGCTCTTGATATAGTTCAATATGGTATAGATATATGGTATAAATACAACTTTGAGTAGTAGTGTGGAATGCTTAGTGTCTGGGCTGTTTTGTATGCACTGATCCATTAGCTTAAAATCCTTGGGAAATCCTGCAGGCGTAACCTCCCATGTACCCCGACCCATAGGTAAGAGTAATACGTTATGTCCCTGATCTTAAAAAGAGTTAGTCCTCCTGGCTCCCCAGTCATAGACATAGTTCACATTAACGTGGCCCATGAGCCGCGTTTGCGCTGGAATGGCATCCTATTCATTTGGATGGGCTTCTGTGCCTGCATTTTATGCAGAAAGTTTCCTGCACCATTTTTGAAATGCAGTGGCTGGGAAATCTCATGGTGCTTTTGCACCATGCGAGTTCCCTGCAGTTCTCAGACCTGCAAATGCGCTTTGTTTTTAGATGCATGGGGGTGCCATTAAGAATTAATGGCATCCCCACACGTTTTTAAATAGCATCGTGTTTTGGCTGCGGGTGGTTGTCGGTGTGGGAACAGGTGCGATTCCCACACCTGCAATAGTATGAACCAGGCCTGGATCCCAAAACACCAGATGTGAACGCGGCCTTAGTGGTAAAGTGGGCAACACAAAAGGAACAGAACTACTGTAAAACAATAACATTGCAACATCCTTCAGATTGCTATAGAATAAAGAACTCACTAACCCCCCCCCCCCCCCCCTTCCTCCATTTTAGATTTAAAGTAATATTATTGCAAATAGGAACTAGATTACAATGTTTGATGCTGGAATAAAAAAAAAATGTAATGTAAATAGGAGGGTGTGGATTCAGTTTATTGTTTAAAGGCTCAAGGCTTTTTATCTTCATGCATTTCATGCATGAAGGTAAAAAAAACTTTTATATGCAGAATACTACCTAATACTTACCTGAGTCCCAGTGAGATCCAGCTATGTGCATGAGAGCCTCGGCTCTCTGGGGACTCTCCCTCCTGATAGGCTGAGATAGCAGTGGATCCCACTGCTGTCAATCACAGCCATTGAGCCAATGAGGAGAGAAAGGGGCCGGGCCTGAGCCGCGGCTCTGTATGTGAAAGTACATAAGCTTGGTTGTCTGTAGGGAGCAGGGTTGCCTATCCTAAAGCCTAATTCTAGCCACCGTCTTCTTTAGTTTTGGATAGTGTATGGAAGGGTTAGATTTTCTGTGGGGTAAACTGTTCTGTATGTCCTTGTTGAGGAGATTTTTGTCAGGTGGGCCATGGATTATACAATTCTCTTTCCTCCCAGAAAGGAAGGAAAATTGCTTGATTCCCCCATAAACACAATCAGCATTGTGTTATGCCAGTGGGGAGCCTTCCCTGCTGGCAGAACAGAATGATCATTGCTAGCGGCTATAACCACCAGCAGTGATCAAATGCAAAGGTCTGATGGGCTAGTTGTACTGAAGTTGGTCGATGAACCAATTTCAGTACAACCAGCCTTCCCATAGTTGGTTCCAATTTTGGCTGGTCCCTACTGAATTGGCTGAGATTCAGTGCGTCTGTAGCCAGCTTTAGATTTTAAAGCTGTCTGCATTCCTATAGAGGAAATTTCTCTTTCTGTTTTGACAAGTCACCTGGACATTAAGAAGTTGGCAGAAATTTGACAAATGAAGAGATCATTGTATGGTTGAAAGAGGTTCTAACCTTATTACACTCTAGTCAAAACTGAGTTGAACTTGATGGATGTTGACTTTAAACAAGCTTCCCATTTTAACAGCTAGTTTATTGTCCCATTTGTCAGCTGTACCTATTTGCACATGTGCAGCTATATGTAAAGTGCAGTAACCCACAACATCCATTTAAATTTCAGTTATCTGTGGGCATATCAGTGAAACATAATTGCTGATTGGTGACATAGCTTGTTGCACTTTTCAAACAATTTATAGCTTTATTAAATTAGGCAAACTAACAATGTCTGTCTGTGCTAAATTGATTATGTTCATGTCACTTTAGTGATCATGCCAAATCGATATGACTGATGTGTTGTGACATACATAGTTTTATCTCAGATTTCACTGTTTTCACTTTGCTGTGTTAATGTTATGCACATTATTAAATGCTTCTTCATTGATGACAGATAAGTGTGTTTGTATCTTTAATGTACTTGGTCATTTTGCAGCATGCCAGTTCATGAAAGAAGAGATGTGGGGCTTCTGTCATGAATCTTGCTGTACTGCTGAAAAAGCTACTGGTGAAATAACCACAGATATTATTTTTATTATTATACAGGATTTATATAATGCCAGCAGTTTAGGTAGCGCTTTACAACATGAGGGCAGACCGTACGCTTCCAATACAAGTCAATACAGTAGGAATCAGAGGGCCTGCTCAGTTGTAGCAATTTATCATTTAACAGGGCTGCATAGATATTATTTACTCCATATTATATTTACCAGTTTGATGAGATGTCAGACTAAATAGTTATTAATCCGAAATATCATGCTGTGTATCATGTTATTAGTATATTTTGCATGAATTACTTTAATTTTTAATGTGACTTTCATATTTTGAAATGTTGGTTCTTCTCTAATTTTGTTATTGTATCAAACCTAGATGACTGTAGAATAGCCACTAAAAGAGCAGAATAGCTACTAGAATGATAGCTTACACATTTTGTAGATAAGACATCAGCCACACAAAGAAGGCACTGTTTTTCAAAGCATTGGTGAGAGCATTGATTTGCATTGTGAGAAGCAGTGAAGCACTGCAGAGCAGGAAGCAGAACCTTCATATGGAATGAGCAAAATATGACTTCCATTATGTACATTTATAATTACAAACTATACAAAGAATTTAACATGTATTACTAGAACATTAATGGGAAAAATCGAAGTCTGTCAATTTTGCAAGCGCTTTACAGCATCTCAAGGAGCTTCTGTTAATCTAGGAAAAGAAATGGAGAACAATTAAATATCAGATCCAGAAACAGTGTGTGTGTAATAGCTAAATGTCACCCAAAACTTGCAAAACATGAACTAAGGCTTCACTTTCTGCTCCAAGACCATACTGTAAAACAACAAAGCACATTTTCACAAATAGCTTTTCACTTTCCACTTCCATTAGAGTTTTGTGTTTTTGCTTGGAGGTCTCCTAAGTATGCTAGATCAAGGAATAATGTGGCCTGGATTTATTAATTTGCAATGCTCAGTTTTTTGTTATAGCAGAAGAGGAGTGGTAATGTATACATGTTAGAAATCTATTTCTGTGACACAAAGTAAAAAGGATGACAGGATGGCAACACATAATCAAAGTTTCAAAGGGTAAAAATGTTTCTTTTCTCTGGTTCTACCAGCAAAAGCAGCTAATAGATTTGTTACTAGTGGAATTGGGATGAACTTGGCAGAGTGGGATGGATAAGGGGATATTACTCTGGTCTTGCAGCTTATGCTGGCCATGCCGCCACCCAGCTCAACAAGCTTCGTTCTAAGGAGCCATAGAGAAAAATTCTCAGCCAGTCAAACAGATGCAGTCACTGTTCAGGTATTCCGACAGCTGGCTGCCAGAAAGCAGTAGCTGGCAGGGAAGGCCCATGGGGCTATGCAAGATAAATCCTAATGTGTATGTCTAGCATTAAAGGATGAGTTCACCTTTGGGAACATGTTATATGTCCCACCTATTTTTAGGGCTCGTGTACACTGCAGCTGATGAATTCACGTTTAGGAGCTGTTCAGCGTTTTTTTTTTCCAGCAGCCCCTGAACTCACCCTAATGTTTTCCTATGTGTCCATGTACACATCTTCGTTTACAGTCATTTACAGGTATTTGAGTTTACAGTCGTTTTTTTGAAGGCAGAAAACTTGCGTTCAGCAGTTGATTTTATCAGCGTTTCAAACGCAAAACGCTTGTAAATGCAGCAGTGTTTATAAGTGTTTGCACTTGAAAAAAATTTTTTTTTTTTTAACTCTTCCAGTTCCCGATGCTGTCAAGAGCCTTTTTT